ACCAAATTTGAGCTGATACTCATCGTCAAAGATCTCTGATTAAGTGGCATTAGGTTGACCTATAATTGAACTCTACTGAAAAGAAATAAAACTGTACCTCACTTTCTCAGGAAGCTATAGCCACAAACCAACCAACGCGTAGGATGAAATGCAGAACCTGACACCTGACCGTATTTCTTGCCACCAGCTGATAAAGCATGCCTTCAAATCATGCAGAAAACATGGCCTTTATGCCAATAACATGCACTTGAGAAAAACACAATCTTCATCACTTCAGAGCGCATATGCTGACAGCAAAATTTAAAGCGAATGAACTTTTGTCAGAGCACAGAGGACAGTAGCATGTCGTAGGAGGGGTTGAGGCTCACATCCAGTAACTTTTACAACTTAGCTTGTATCTAATAGGGTCCACTGACAAACACTTCTCTTCGAGATGTGAAGACTAGCATTCGTGACATGGGGAAAATAACAATGTAATTGAAACCATGGGACTTTTCTCCGATGCACCGTTGCGCTTACCGCTTATCTACAAATGCTCGAAATGGTATAGAAATTTGTGAGTGCTGTTTGTTATGAGAATGCAAACAGGGATGTAAATGATGCTTCCTTTTGATTCTTTGGCACAACTTCGTAATTTTATCATCATAAATTACATTTATCACTTGGATCAGGTACAGCCAGCACTCGGCAGCCAGCTAGCAGTGTTCCCAGATGAAATGCCGGAGACCCTTTGAAAAAAGCCGCAGTTTTTTAACGAAATGCCGGAAAATTTTTGAAAATGCCGGAGATTCTAAAAAACACCTTTTTTTTAAAAAATACCAGTGAAAATAGATGTTTTTGCTGACTGCATCGCCTCTAATCATAAAAACCTATTGATAGTGTAACGGATCAAATGTTGGTATCGATCATACAGGGCGATCCAAAAGTCCCTTCCACCCCCTACAACTTTTTACCTAATTGAGCTAAAGATTTGAAACTTGGGGGATGTTCCAAGGTCAAAGGGGGCTACTTTTTGGCCCCCCTAAAATTTTCATGGGGGCCCCCCATGAGGGCAACGGAACCCAACTTTTAATTTTCAAATGGGAAGACCCCCTTAGTGATCGTTGGAAAGATCATAAAAAAAGAAAACTTTTCGTGCAAACCCGTAGTCGATATCTCAAATCGTTTCAAAATGGCGGCCGGTTAAGGTTCAAAATAGCCGAAAATTCACACCGCGGTTATTTGTCGATGTATTTGCGCGAAAATCAGTGTCAGTAGGTATTTCGACACGAGAAAAACGAATTTGACGTTAGATTTTCATAAAAACTGAAATTTCCAAAATGGCCGCCAGTTAAAGTTCAAATAGGCCAAAAATTGCCACCTCGGTTTTTTTGCTGATAGATTTGCCTAAAACTTGGAATTTGAGGGTATTTTGGCATAAGATTAACACATTTGAACTTAGATTTCTAAAGAAACCAATTTTTGGTCATTTTGAACTTTCACCAACGGCCATTTTAAAAATTTTAGGGGGGCAAAAAAGTAGCTCCTTTTGACCTAGGAACATCCCCTAAGTTACAAATTTTTACCTCAATTAGGTAAAAAGTTAGAGGGGGTGGAAGGGACTTTTGGATCACCCTGTAGAGATAAAAAAGAGGAGGTGTTTTAGGTGTTTGTACTTCGGACATATTTAATTTCTTTGATGACGTAGGTCGTTGCGGACGATTTTTATCATTGATTTTCTTGGAAATGGTGTGATTTATGGAAAAAGTCTGTCTATATAAAGTGTTGGAAATTATTTCAAGAGTTCATTTAGGCAAAAAAAAATCGGACGTTATGGTCCGTTTTTAATTAATATTACGAATTCTGCATTTTTCTGGAATATCGAAGCCATGTTCTACCGACCTACGTCACGGGGTAAACAATCTGCAGCTAAATTTCTAGCTCCAATAGAAAAAATAGCCGGATTTTTTTATCAAAATGTCGGAAACTTCATGAAAATGTCGGAGATTTACAATAGAATGCCGGAGATTCTCTTCTTCGAAAAAGCCGGAGATGCCGGAGAGTGTCGGAGATTTTCCGAAAATGCCGGAGATCTGGGAACACTGCCAGCTAGACATAACCTGATTTCACATATAAATTCGTTTTCGTTACTCATCGTTCAATATAAAGAAATCACTTGAACATATTAGGAGAAACCAATGATTTAGTGTATCAGGTTCTAACAGAAAAAGAAATAGTAGTTAGGATCTAAAATGAATTGAACGTTTAAATTAAATCTATTCATTGTTCACAACTTTATCGTAGCTGGAGGTCGGAGGGTGGTAAGTAGGCAAGATCCATCCATATAGGTCAGTCATTGCGCAGATTTCCCCGCTCGGGGTAAGCCCCTTTCCATTGGCTCGTGACGTCAGCATTACTGCCGCGAAAACCAGAAAAGTCGGAAACAATGCTTTTCTTATGGGAGAGAGCAAATTTTTCTTAATGAATCATTTAAATTTCTTACTTTTAAATCCTTTGAAACTTTCTGTGTGTCGAAAAGAACGTTAAGACATTAGCATTCAGGGTTCCGATTTTGCCGAATTTGTGTTCTTTCATTTTTACAGTTTACTCTGCATCAGCCATTTTTACACGCGAATCTATACCACTAGATGGCTTGTTACATCGCTGACTTCAAAAATCATTTAAAAATATAAAAACGCAAATTCAGCTGAATTGAAACCCTTGACGCTAATTTCTAAACGTTCCTTTCGACACTCAGAAAGCTTCAAAGAATTTAAAAGTAAGAAATTTAAATGATTCATTAAGAAAAATTTGTTCTCTCCCATAAGAAAAGCATTGTTTCCGACATTTCTGGTTTTCGCGGCAGTAATGCTGACGTCATGCGCAGAAGATTCTCATTTGGGTTTCGGGAATGACTGACCTATATGGATGGATCTTGGTAAATTGGTAACGACGAGGGAAATTTCGTTCTCGAAACTCGGACGGGACGGACCTGAACTGACCTGAACTAGAGTACCTTTATCATAGAGTACAATAGAGTCGCAATGTACTGGAGCACCGATGACGTCAATCCATTAACGGGCCTTTCCGAGCCGCTTGTGCTCCGAAAAGTGTGAACCAAGCGTGAACCCAACGGCACTTTTAATCATGGTGGCAAATGGACAAATCAAGAACTGCTTGTGTTTTTTCTTTTTCGACATTTTTTAATTCAATCAGCATTAATTTTTGCAAATTTTGCTATAAACAGGTGGCAAGAGCCATAGTGAATCCAATAATGTATCATACTCTTGAATAATATTTAAAAAGGGACGTAATTGGGACTTAAACCAAGTGTGAACCGACCGGCATTTCTTATCACGGCGGCTTACAGGAAAAGCAACGACTGCTTGTGTTTTTTCGACATTTTTTAATTAAATCGAAATTAATTTTTGCAAATCTTGCTTGGAATAGATATTCAAAGCCATAATGAATCCATTAATGTATGTTACTCCAGATAATATTCATATATGGACTCAATTTCAGACTTGTTACCGGCTTACTTAGCTGGTTCAATGTGTGTGGACCTGACAGAGACGTTCTGCTGTAGCGGAGCCGAGTCGGGAGTGGAAGGCGCTGAGCGCGAGTCTCAGCGCAAGCGTCATCGCTAGTCGCCGCACACTAATCTCCGGAGTACTGGACAAAACAGCCTCCAAAAGTGGCTTTATCGGCGATCCAGTACATTGCGACTCTATTGTACTCTTTATAGACAGTCGTTGACAGAGTATGGCCATTCGTATCTTTTTACTACAGGAAAACTGTTCCGCTTTTTGATTGGTCAACGAGTTTTTAGGCTTCTTACGGCCGTAAATAAACAAACAAGATGGCGGCTCAACGTAACATCAAGAAGCTAAAATTGACAAAAATTTCAATTATACGGCAGTAACAATTTGAACAAGCATATCTACGAATAACACACGAAAACATTGTTAAATCGCAAAAACATTGAATCATGTTAAATAGCCTTTCACCTTTATCACAGGAGGATGTAAGATGTGCATAACCTTGCTTGCTGATAACAGCCATCTTGTTTGTTTACTTACGGCCGTAAGAACATCATGTCAGCCTATTTTCACGCGACCAATGAAAAACCGGAACAGAGATGGCTAGACTCTGTCTATTAAGGTACTCTGACCTGAACAGAATCAACCAATGGCATTAAACCACCACTGGTTTTTTTCTAAATTCAAAAATTATAGCTAAAATTTTCAACCTGCTGATGCTGGATTATCCGTGCAATAAAGCCCTCTTTTACTATATTATACTATATAATACTACATAAACTATCTTCCAATAAGATTATCAGGGATTGCATCATCCTTGGAGTCAAGGATGAAACTGTACGTCAACATCTCCTTGGAGAAACCATGAACCTTGCAAAAGTCCTGAAAATCTACGAATCGGTGAAAGCTGGAAGAAGTCGAGCTGAGGAAGTCAATCTCAAAGAGAGTGGTCATTTGGTAGACGTAGATGCATTCAGAGAATATGGATACCAAGAAGACCAAGAAATCAATCATCACATCATCAATCAAACCAAACATCGCTTCAACAAACTCCACTTCAACGAGGAAATCAACAACCACAACATTAGTAACTAAAGGAACAGCAACATGCCAACTATAAAATTAAGTCTCAATACATAGAGAGTAAAGTTTTTGTTTATTTCAATCGTTGAACTTTGCTGACACTGCCACAAATCCCGATTTTAACCGTTATAAAAACATTATCTGTACAAACAGTCGACAGTGCAAAGTCGAGTACTAAAGTCAGCCTCCTATGGTGTAGTGGTTGTAGCGCTTGCTCTATGATCGGGAGGTCCCGGGTTCGATTCCTGGCCAGGCGACCCGAGTTTGATGGTCTCAAACAATGGTTGCCTGGGACTGGTTCAGTAGGGATGGAGGGGGGATGGGACTTAAAGCGTGAGATTAGCCCTTGTGGACTATTTGAAGTAGTAAAAAAAAAAAAAAAAAAAAAAAAAAAAAAAAAACGGCGGATCTTGTTTTTTATTCAACCTGATGTAGCTCTTTAAGTTTTGCTTGGAAACAAAAAGTCTAGAAAAGGTTTTCTAGGGAAGGTTTTGTTCTACATAAAATCCTTAAGCCAGATCCTCATGTTTTCAAATGGAGTCAAAATGCAGAGCTTTGAAAACTTTGAGAGTGTTTTTCTGAAAACTGAAAAACTCTACATCTGCCCTTTTTACAGATACGCCTTCATATGCGCCTTGTCCTCCGAGCCCCCCAGAAGATAAAGTTCCCAAATACCAATTTGCACTGGAGCAACAGTTTTCTGTTTCAGTTTTGAAATACATTTTGTTTATCACAAACTTAGGGAGAAATTCTCTACCCGGTTTTTCAACAATTACCTGATATGCAGATGAAAATGATGAACTCAAAAAAGAATTAGGAGTATTTGCATGCTGTGGAGAGTTGCCATTTAAGTATTTTAGCCTACATCAAATTTTGCAAGAAAGATGATGGCGTCACTGATTCTCTCTGAAACAAACTTCGAAGCTCATAAGGAGCTCTTAAAAGTGGAGGTCTTAATGGAGGGGATCCCTTACGTTCTGTTGAGGATCCTCCTTTAGAACCAGCTAATCAAATTCTAAGCGCACAGATAAGGAGTGAATTAAGACTGCAGCCATGGCAACCCTACTGATGTATTCACTCCCAATCTGTGTATTAGGGTGTCCCTAAAAAAGTTCGACCCTGGAAAAGTTACGTTTTCTGGTTAAAAGAGTGTTCCATTTGGTTAGAAAACACCTTTGGCCACGCACTAAAACTTCACCTATAAATCTGAAACTTGGCCTAAGGTGTTTTCTAACCAAATGGAACACTTTTTTACCCAGAAAGCGTAACTTTTTCAGGGTCGAACTTATTTTGGGACGCCTTACTGTGTACAGACAGTTTCACTCGATATAGGAATGGTTTCTCCTCTTAACAGAGGAGATCCCTCCATTATGGCCTCAGGCTGAGAATTTTAAAAGCTAGGAACTTTGTTTCATGCTGGAATCACACGCTGAATTTGGCAGCTGAATATGGAAGTCAACAGTCATCGCTCAACGGCTGAAATTTCCCAAATTAGAGTTATTTTCATCCAGATTTGTACTAAATCTATTCGAACAGTTCGGACAAATCTGACATTATCCAATGGTTGCTGAGCCTTATTGCTGAATGTTGAGTGACACGCGCAAAATTCAAGCATCGAGCTGGGCCAATGACTTCCACATTCGAGCCACATTCAGCATGTAATTCCGGCTTTAGAAAAAACCAGTGACGTAATAGTGTTCCTCCCTAAATTGTACCCATAATGAAGTATTTAAATTACGAATCTTCACAGCATGCAAGAGCTCTATTGGAAGTATTAGTATGGAGTTATCAAATCTCCAGGATAACCAATCATGAGACTGAAAGGCTTCCGCTTCTAGATGCATATGATTCAAATCAAAAACCTTTCATCAATTAAGGTTTTTTTAGCTAAATTTTTCCGCCCCCAGATACTTCTGAATACAGTTATCAACTTGGCCACAAATGCAGTATAGATGGCAGACAAGAGATAATTTTGAGAAAAAATCTGACAGCAAGAAAACAGGATGATGTCAAATGTGAACAGAGTAAACTCATTTCCATAGAACATGACATCATCAAATGAATGGCCATTATCATAATAGAAAATACCTTTATCTGAGGTATCTAAAAATTCAATATCCAACAATGACTCCATAAATTGTTTATCTTTAACCTCATAGTCTAAATCTTTCAAGGCATGCTCAAGGAATGCAGCTAAAAACTTGTTCATATTGTGATAGGCTTGAACGCTTCGATTGACATCAAAACTACTGTTCAACATTTTGATTTTGAAAGCTGCTGATACAGTGATAGGGAGGTGCTTCAATTGGAGACCCATCATGAGAGGAGCTTTAACCTGGGAGTAATAGGCACGCAACTGCGGAGGGATGTACATCTGGAAGGTCTGTTGGTCTGATGCTGGGATCAACCCTCGGTGAGCAACAAGATCCTCTTCCTCACGGCAAAGTTGTGAGATGATTGTATACATGTCGGTGTCAGCAAACCCATGGACTGACCTGCCGTGAATGTAATATCCGTAATTTTCAAAAGCTAATATGAAAACGCTAATATTTGCGATAGAGCATACATCGATAAACTGTTGAATCTCATTCTTTATGTATCTTTCATAAATACAGACAATGAAGAAGTACTGGAGCAAGTATACAGCAATAAAAATGGACACGCCCAAGGCAAATCGCAGTGTGTCACTGTACGGTGTGTTTTTCTGAGTATTTGGAACTGACAAAAAAAGTTTTGGATGGGCCAAAGCCCAATGCTCGACTCCGATAATGTTCAGTATAAAAACAGTCAAAAGGAGCTGGATGTACGGATTGGTCTTTCTCTTTGTCTGTATCTCATTGAACTCATTTGCAATGAAATAAGTTCTCCAGATGCTGATTGGCTGTGAGGTCGCATTACCAGTAGCCCGTGGCTTCTCCCAGTCAATTAGAAAAATGTCTATGGTGACTTGCCGCCACACTAACCGTACTATTTCAATGGTTTTCAATAAAAAAGCTGCCATCACATACTTGTATATGAAATACTCTTGCGCTGAGGTCGGAAGTAGTATATGAGTAACACTTTGCCCCTTGTAATAGACAAGGACAAAGAGAGATGCGCAAGTCATGATCACAAAAAACATGTTGGCTAAATGACCACATGATATCAAGAGGAGTTCAGTCAAGGTGACAGCATCGATTGTGACACGTCCATTGCGGCGCGAGTAGCTCCATGTTTGAATTGCAGACCAAACAACAGCAAAAGCACTTGAAACGCCAAGGCTGACGTCAATTATGTGTGGAAGGTCATTTTCCATGATGAATTCAACAGAGAATGACAAATTCACATTCAAATTGCTTTCCACTTCTTCTCCTTTCAACTCAGCATATTCGAGAATCAGCAGTGGGGGATAAATCCGGCCTTCTTCCTCTACTTCATGCAACATTTTCACTTGAAGAACAACAGACTTCAGGAACCGAACAGCTGCTAATGTATCCACTCTGTTCTCAATGCCACTTAGGCTGTCAACCAAAAAGAAACGACGTGTCAGTTGCCATTGCAGAATATCTGCCCCTTGATTAGGATATTTATTTCCTTGTTTTAAATTTTTTAAAAGCACAGGAACAGCATACAACTTAGAGACTCCTTCCTCATAAAATTGCAGGTATATGTCAAAAAATTCCAAGGTGGGGAATGATTTAAGTAACTGACTAATAGGTATACTACACGAATGATGGTACCAGGCCCCAACCCTAAAGGCCGAATTTAATGTTTCTAGTGAACCAGGACATAGTTGCAAATCACTGCTTTCTAACGGCTGAAGACTCGAAAGCTCGCCTTCCGATGTATATTTAGCTACTGTAAAATTAAGGGTATTGAGTGGCGACTCTTCTTGAAGCCGATAGCGAGACGTTATTTTTTTGCGGTGCAGAACAGTTCCGGCATCTCCTTCTGCATAATAAATCCATGGAATCACCTCATTTTCACTTGTAGGGATATGACGAGCATCTCGAAATAAGCGGCAAGGTCCACCACGGTGAGAGTCTTTGTACATGCTTAGAACGCACATATTACCAACCGCTTGACATGCTGATCGCTCTTTTAGCTTGGTGCACTTAAAAAGTGCTGAGCGGAGGTGCGCCCGCAGATACTGGGAATCAATGCTCGGTATAAAGTCATAGTGAATGTGGTATGCACCTTCTTCATCTGGCCACTGAGAGAGCGCATTCCGGGGTATACAAAACTGCTTCGAGATTATCTCATGCGTCAGACTCGGACATGTACAGTTTACAGTGAAAGGAGAACATGGTTCGCAGCGTCTGCGATCGGCTGATGGTTTGGTGTCTCCAACGCAAGGAATACACTTCCTTGTTTCAAACAGCTTTCCATTTATATCCCGATCCACTGCAACAAAGGATGATGGAAAGTTAAAGATTGACCCCAAAAACGACCGTTGTTGGGCACAATTTGGGTCCATGGGGATTATTCTGAAATCAGGCCCGAACGATACCTTATGATTCACTAAAACTCTGGTAAAAATTTTAGCTTGAGTATACGCACGATTTGTAAGAAATTGGGGTGGGGGGCAAAGTTGCCAAATCGCCATCATTCTTGACAGCATTTTTATAGCAAAAAGACGGGAAAAATGGACGAAAAAGTTTCACCTTAGATGGGTTTTGGCTGTAAATGTTCTAATCGGTCCCCTGTGCATTTATTTATGCTCGGTTTCAAACATTTTCACCGCACAAAGGGTCCAAAATGGGGTAAATCGTTGACATATCAGGATTCTTCGTCGAACTTTTAAATGGAAGTAAAATTGTTAGTCTCTTGCAGAGTTCGTGGCTAACAATGTTCTGGATGGTCCTCAAACATAAAATTGTGTTCAGCTTCACTTTTCATGGCACAGTGGTCCAAAATGGGGGAATTAGTGGACATATTAAGATCCTCTGTCAAACTTTCTGAAAATGAAATGAAACTGTTGGTCCCTTGTAGAGTTCAGATCGCAGACAAATTCATACATTTAATTTTTTTAAAATTAATATTGTATGTGGGACCATATCCTTCATAGAGCTTTGTTGTAGATTATATTAGCATAATTTTAATCAAATATGTACACTTTCAGAAATTAACAAAAAAAATAAGGAAAAATGGAGGAAAAAATTTGAAAGATTTAAAAAGCCAAAAAAAAAAGAATTAAAAACCCAGAAAACAAAAGAAAAATTACCTAAAAGAAAAAAAAATAGAAAAAACAAATAACAAGAAATTTAAAAAAACAAAAAGCGAAAAAAATTAGAAGAACAGAAAAAATAAAAAAAAAAAAAACCAGAAAAGAAAAGAAAAACATATATAATAGTACTAGTAAGGTAAAAGGAACAAAAAACTTTTTCAAAGATTAGTACCGTGACGTGGTGAAGAAGCTAACCCATTATTTGTAATGGGATGCAAAATAAAAAATGCTACAAAATCTAATCTATAATGCAGTTCTGTGAACGATATGGTCTGACAATCAATATTAAATTTAAAAAAATTAAATGCACGAATTAGTCTGGGATCTTAACTCTGCAAGGAACCAACAGTTTCATTTCATTTTTAAAAAGTTTGACAGAGGATCTTAATATGTCCACTAATTCCCCCATTTTGGACCACTGTGCCATGAAAATTTGTGAAGCTGAACACAATTTTATGTTTGAGGACCATCCAGAACATTGTTAGCCACGAACTCTGCAGGAGACCAACAATTTTACTTCCATTTAAAAGTCCGACGAAGAATCCTGATATGTCAACGATTTGCCCCATTTTGGACCCTTTGTGCGGTGAAAATGTTTGAAACCGAGCATAAATAAATGCACAGGGGACCGATTAGAACATTTACAGCCGAAACCCATGCAAGGTGAAACTTTTTCGTCCATTTTTCCCGTCTTTTTGCTGTAAAAGTGCTGTCAAAAATGAAGGCGATTTGGCAACTTCCCCCCCTCCCCACCCACCCACATTTCT